TGTGCGCATGTGCGGCCCCCCTGCAATGATCCCTCTGATGGAGTAGACGACAGTTCTGTTTCGAATATCCGTGCGTGCATCACGGATCGTCCAATCCCCCCGTCACAAATCACGATTCCATGCATTAATAAAGATTATAATATCATATCACGGATATTGTCGTCGATGGATCGATGATCACTAGTTCACTACAGCTGTTGAGCTGTGGCATAGGTCGCCCGCGCGCACAATATTCACGGATCACAAATCCGTATGGCCGCGTTCATTGCATTGCAGCTGAGGTTGATTGCCTCAGCCTGTGCCGAGCACTCGCCGTGATCACTGGCGCACGGGGAGCTAGCCAGGTAGAAGCTCCGTGGTCTACGTGCCCCACTCAAATGTATTCTTCGCCTTAATTTTGGGAATAAGATTCCATGGACCCGGTGATAACGAACCATACATATAGTCTGCCATATGGTATGATAATGATCATGCCAATCTCGTGAAAATTACGATAAATTTGGTTAGAAAGTAGATAGGGTTCCGGTGAACTCTCTAGCTTAGATTATTTTCATCAGATATATAGTTGCTCTCTCCGTCAGCTTCAACTGAGATTCCTTTTGGACTAAAAGAAAAACCACTCGATTGCTGATAGCTCCACGGAGGATTCCTTTCCACGGCCATGTCACCGGCCGGTCGATCGTATCATGGCCACTCGATCGCGCATATGCATGCTGTCCGATCGAGAATATAACCTGATTATATTGCTGCTCCAGCCTCCAGTTGGCTGTCTCGTCAATAGAATAAACAAAGATAATCCTCTTCCGAAAATTAAACAAATCAGGATAACATAAACTCACATAATCATTAATTTGGCACCATTATATTTGTACTTCCTGGCTGGTTGATCATTTTTCATATACACTAGTAATATGGTAGCTAGGTAGCGTAACTTTCCATGTTTGTTAGATGTACGTATATTCTGACAGCTTTCCGCAAAAAGAAAAAGATTGGAGGAGTACTAGTAGTACGTAGTAGTATTACATGGGTTCATTAAAAAAAATACATGCTGCCTTTTGATTTTTTGAAAAAAAAAGGAGAGGAAAAAGGGAGAAATGGGTGGAGTTGGGGGAAATACTCGCACGCTTGCCTGGCTAGCTCAAGTGGAAGTGGCGGAAAGGAAAAGACGCAGCCATTGAATGCTTGAGGATATCCGCCTGCCAAAATCTTTTCTCACGAAAACGACCTCGAGTGAATAAATATATATATATATATAATCGGACCTTTTCTCGCTACTTTTTATGGATCACTCCTCGAGGACTTTGGAATTCGCTAAGGTCACGCTTGCAAAGATTTGACAATTGACATAAGGGCCGGTCTCAGTGGGAGTTTCATGACTCAGTTGCCAACACACTTATATTTTGAAAATAGTGCAGAAGAGTTTTATCCACGTGAAACTATCTCTACTCCCATAAAACTTTTATCATCTCTCTCTTCATCAATATAGTGTCATATCAGCATATTTAATGCCCATGAAACTCTCGTGAAACCCCCCATTGAGATTAGCCTAATAAGACCTTAAAAGTATTTACTCCTAAAAGGCTATAATTTGTAGATATCTCTAAAGCAATGGCTTTAGCTGGCTATGGCTAGCACCACCGATCACAACCAATATGTTTTCTTGAGCACTATCAGTCTGGATTGTGTTATCCCGGTCTCTATACTCTCGGAATGTTCATTTAGATACCTATCACTGTCCATGTCTCATTACCTATCCAAACCGATGTAACCAATAGCGGAATAGTGTTTAGGTACCTAAATAAGTATTTTGAGAGTTTAGGCTTGTCGGATACCATGAGAAGGGGTACCCTAAGCACGATCCAAAAAGCATCGCTTAGAGTTCAGAAGATCGAAACCAACTAAACGCTGGCGCCTCGGCCGATTCTCGATTCGATTCACGTCGCCTCGGTCGATTCCCCGCCAAAGGCCTCGGCCGAGGCCTCGGACTTCGTCTCGCGCAAAAAGGGCTCGGCGAAGACTCGCCACCTCTTCCTTCTCCCGTCCCGCGCAAAACGCGGGTCGCATCAACTCACGACCGCCGCTACCGACAATGACCACATGCCCCCGACCCTCAATGAGAATGGGCGATGGGGGCGGGGACAAGGGACGTCAGGGGTTGTCGCATCACTAATCAACTGCACATGGGTTGACGCCCATGCCTCACTATGTTGCCAACTCCCGCACCGAGGACAATGCGGCGTGGGGAGCCACATCACAGCTAATGTGGCCTCGGAATCGAGACCAGGAGCAATATTCCCTCAAGGCCTCGGCGAGCTTTGCTCGAGGGCTCGACGGCCCGAGGACCCATGTCCGCCAAAGCCCCCGCGATGGCTTGGCCTCGGCACCTCACAGAGCCTATACCCCTACGACGTCATCACGCGATGACCTCTTGACACATGATCTGGCGGGGTTACCCGCCATCGACTAACCACCGTGCACATGGGTTGACGCCCATGCCTCACTATCTCGCCAAACTCACCGAGGACAATGCGGCGTGGGGAGCCACATCTCGGCTCTTGTGGCCTCGGAATCGCACCAGAGCAATAATTCCTCCAAGGCCTCGGCGGCTTGCTCGGGGCTCGGCAACCGAGGACCCATGTCCGCCAAAGCCCCCGCGATGGCTTGGCCTCGGCACCTCTGAGCCACTGAGCCCCCACGACGTCATCACGCGATGACTGCGTGACGTCCCCGGATCGGGCGGGGTTACCCGTCACTATGCTATCCACCGTGCACATGGTTGACACCCATGCCTCACTTTGTCCGCCAACTCCTGCTCCAAGGACAACGCAGCATGGGGAGCCACGTCTGGCTCTTTGTGGCCTCGGAATCGCATACCCGTGGCCAATAACTCCCCCAAGGCCTCGACAATTTGCTTCACGGGCTCGGCGACCGAGGGTCCATGACCACCGAGCCCCCACGATGGCTCGGCCTCGGCATCTCGCAGAGCCGCTGCTCCCCACGACGTCATTGCACGGCGGCGACCGAAGACGTCGCCCGCCATGTCACGCATCAAGCCGCATCTGGAGCCCCACGACGCACAAGACCGAAAGTATGACCAAAGCATGTCACTTCCGCATGACAAGGACGGGCCACTCCATCGACCATACCACAACGGTGGCCGACTACAGGGCTCGGACACGCCACCCCATTTACAGAAGCGCTATGTAGCACCCTGTGCACGGTCCCGGTCCTCCCTTAGAGTATAAAAGGGAGGGACTAGGGCCATTTCGGAGGGAGGCGGAAAAGACGAACACGCCGATAGAACCACGCACTCCACGCTGCTTGGGAACAACGCCTCAAGCAGCCCGCACACCACACTCGCCGAGACACAGGGGCTAGTTCCTCTCTCACCTAGCTTGTAACCCCCCTACTACGAGCACTCCGGTGCAAGGAATACAAGATCGATCTCTCGGACTGGACGTAGGGCCTCGATTGCCTGAACCAGTATAAACCTTGTGTCTCTTTGCGCCACCATCCGGGATTAGGGGCACGCAGCACAAATTCACTCGTTGGTTGAGGGACCCCCGGTTCCAAAACACCGACAAGGCTCATCAGAAATACCGTTGAAACTATGTAACAATGTAAACGCTATGTGCAGAGAAGCAGAAGCGAGAAGTATGTTCCATTTTCTTAAAAAAAGGAATGACACGTCGAAACAAGAGGACTGCTAGTTGACTTTACTCTTTTCTAGATGTTCCCTTCATAATACGAGATCACTTTTATTTAAAATTTCATGTTATTGACGTCCTTAATGGCGTATTATTTGGTTCACAAGAAGCATCTCATAAAACTCTCATGCTAGGATGGTTTAACTATGGTTGTGTTAGGTTAACCTCCTTCGGCGCTCGATAGAAACACGTTATATATTTGCTTAAACTCTTCTACTTAATGCAGTGATATGCAAATCTTTTACGTATTCGAGGAAAAAAACTCACGTGTTTAAAAAAAGAGACTGAATCTAGGAGCGTTGTGTGGATACCTGTAGTTAAAACTTGGCTCACCAATCCATGCCAAATTTTAATAGTACTAACCAATTGGAGTACCTGACCGTAGACATTAATAATTAGCCAATTGGAAGAGCAATGGTCGGTCAAACATCAGCATATTCGTTTTAGCTGGATTTGCTTATAAGTCATAGCTAAAAGTACTGCTGGCTAGTTTGGTGTGAGAGAAAAACAGTATTAATTGACTAATAAGCCAAGGCTTATAAGTCAGATACAGTGCATATATTTTGGCAACAATTTTGGCAGATAGTGCTCAAGAACTTAATGTTTTCTTTATTGTGATCTGGCATTTATTTTGGCAGATCTGGCATGCATTTATTTTGTTGCCAAGGCTTATAAGTCAGAATTGGTGAGCCCATTGAGAAAAACAGTATTGACTGACTAATAAGCCAAACTATAGCTACTAAACTGGGTAGCCATTACCGATATAAAAGAATTTATGTATCTTGGGAGACATCCGCTAAAATTGGAACTACGAAAATTTCGTTCCACTATTTGCCCCAAAAGAATTTCCACTCCATCAGTTACCCAAGAACCGCTTTCGTAGAATCCGCGCGTGCCAAGAGTCCAAGACAAGCAAACATCATTGTAATTTACAAAATGTAGTCGGATATCCAAGCAAAATCCAGCAGTATATAAAACGCCGTACTCGCCATCTCCTCGACCTCTCCCCCCACATGTTCTTCAGCCTCCACACTCCACATTCACAGGGCAGGGCGCCAAGAGAGGGGGGAGAATCTTTCGCCCTGAAAAAGAGCAAAGTGTCAGCCCTTTCCCCCAGTTCCTAGTTTTGGTACTACTCCAGCTGAGCTGCATCACTCTGCCCATTCCTTTCCCAACGAACCAGCAGAGCTCGCATCGCAAGCAACAAAAGAGAAGGACGAATCAGGCGCAGCAGCCGCCCGCCGCCACACGGACACGCAGCAGAGCGTCGCCGCCGCGGTCCTGCCCAGAGGCATGGGGGACGCCGCCTTGAGCCACCCCGTGAGTCTCTCGCCCAGCGTAGTACGTAATCTCGTGACGACCAATCGGCTTAACGTTTTTCCTTGTGAGGAATTGGAGTTTGGAGTGAATTTTGGCTGAATTCTCTTGTGCAGTTGTGCCCAAGGGGATTAAAAAAAGTACTCCCAAGTTTGGTTCCGTTTTGGTTGAGTTCTCCTGCGCTCTGTTCTTGCAGACAGAAACGGCAGCACTGACAGGAACTTCCGCTTCTGGTTTCTCTCATACTTGCAGGTTGTCGCGGCGGGAGGAGACGCTGGGCAATCGAGCTTCGGCGCCAACTCGTCCCCCGCCACCGCCGCCGCCGGCGGCTTCGTCGCCCTCGACGTCGGCGCGCTGTCGTCTCTGGCCGGCGACGCTGGCCCGCCGGGCACGCCCACCGCGCCGCCGCGGACACCCGTAAGTCCGAGCTAGAAAACACACGTTCGCGAGTTTGCGTCGCGGGCCGGCCCCGGCCGGCCGGGCGCGGCGGACCGGCGGTACGCGCCAAATTCGCTTCCGTTGCTTCCAAAGCTGACTCTTTTTTCCCTCGCGCCCGTGCCGTGAACGCGACAGAAGGTGATGAGGTCGCTGTCGAGGAAGGGTGACAGGAAGCCGCCCCCGGCCGAGGCCGATGCCAACGGCACCGCCGGTACGTCACTCCAAACGATTAGCTCTCTTTGGTTAGCATCCAAATCTCGCTCTGATTTTGCCTCTTGGTGAAAAGAAAGTCGCAGTTTGATGCCAATGGTTAGTATTATTTTTTTCGTGGTTCTCTACTTCTTCTCTTCTTTGTTTGGCTTCCGTTTATCCACGCTAATTTGATAGTGATTAATTGTTATCTTGTCACTTAAGCTAGTGTCAGTAAAAGGGACAATTGACAGTACTGTATTAGTATTACCGTGTCATAATTCCAACGACGAATCAGATATTCAAAGGCATGGCTTGGCATCTTTAAGGTGCAACAATATTTGCGCGACATGGCGGATACTACCGAGAGATGCAGCGCTGACAGCCTCCATCTTCCTCCGCTATTGATGATGTATGTGTGCAGGTGGCGGCAGTGAGCGGCCGCAGCTGTTCGTGCACGTGGCGGCCGGCGACCTCGGGGACGCGCCCGGCAGCGCGCGGCTGGTCGTCCACACGCCGCTGACCGGCACGCCCGGAAGCAAGTCCCGGCGGTTCGGCAGGCGGCCGGCGCCGTGGCTCGATCCCCGGAGGGTGGTCTTCCTCTTCGCCACGCTGTAAGAAATACTCCTAGTAGAAACTATCCCCTTCGATCAGTTGTTGGTTCTGACGAACTCTTTTTTTAAGAAGAAATAAAAGAGAAAAACAGATGCTCTGACCTATCAGCTCAACATGACAAGTGGCAGTAGTGAGTACTCCGTATGTCTTGCAGTAAGGCCCCGTTTAGATCAAAATTTTTTAGATTTTGGCTACTGTAGTACTTTCGTTTGTATTTGACAATTAGTGTCTAATTATAGACTAATTATGTTTAAAAGTTTCGGTCTCGCGATTTTTACCCAACTGTGCAATTAGTTTTTTTTTCGTCTATATTTAGTACTTCATACATATGCCGCAAGATTCGATGTGACGGATACTGCGTAAATTTTTTTAAATCTAAACGGGCCCTAATTCGTCCGTGCTAGTAGCTTAATAGTGTCTGCCAAAGTCTGCGGTGATTAAATACTCCTGCCTGAAGTGCCCAAACGGTCAGGCACCGCACTTAGATCTTGTTTAGTTGGCAAAATATTTTGAGAAATGATATCGTAGCATTTTCGTTGTTATTTGGTTATTAATGTTTAATCATAGTCTAATTAGATTTAAAAGATTCGTCTCGTAAATTTCGTCTAAATTGTATAATTAGTTTTATTTTTTATTTATATTTAATGCTACGTTCAAAGATTCGACGTGACGAAAAATCTTGAAAAATTTTGGGAACTAAACACCACGTTAGCGAGCGAGCCTGAACAAGCTAACAAACAGGCTACGGAGTGACAGTGAGCGCCAGTAAATTCCACAGTGTAGCATCTTCAGAGAGTCAGTAGCGGGTACAGGGTACACAACCAAACCCACCAAATCCATTCCATCAATTCGATGCGACGGATCTTAGGAGCAAGAAACCGGGCGGTGTCAGGGGCCGAGGGGCATCAAGTGCACTGTTGTGCAGCCCATACTCCCTCCGTCCCATTGAGTTTGTCGCTCGGGAAGCGGGATTGTGAGGGGGGCACGGTTTTCAAACGACAAACTCAATGAGACGGAGGGAGTAGGCCAGACGCACTCGGTTCGTTGCGGCAGTACGATGGCGATGGCGATGGCGATGGCGATGCTCGCGGTGGCAGGGTTGCAGCACAGGACGGACAGGCCGCAGGTTTTGTCGGCCCAGTCTCCGTTGCGTTGCAGAACTAGCCCTCGGCGTCGCATTCTCAGCAGCGACAGCAGTGGAAAAATAAAGACGGAGACCGACGAGCAACCGCCGTGCCCAGTGCGGCGCCGTGGTGTTTCTCGGTTCATGTGCCCCATCCAGCTGCTTGAGCTAACTATTTGGAAAAGTTTGTTCGGATGGCTGAATACAAGTTCAGAAGTGATGTCTTCAGTTCAAATCCTAGTGTGGCTTACGCACGCCCTTTTCTGATTTCTGCAGGTCCAGCGTGGGAACGCTGATCCTCCTCTATTTCACGCTGTCCATGAGCAGAGCGGACACCAGTACTGGCGGCGGCGGCGGCGCCAGCGACGCCCGGTGAAACGCCGGCAAGCGAAGGGGGCATCTCGCCTGATCTGAGAATTTTCAAACTTGCAAAGATTGAGAGGAATACCGTAGTCCAGGCATATAAAACAAAGGTGTGGTGCTGCGTGAGTCTGAAAGGCCAATCTCATGGATGAATATAGAGTGAACCAACGACAGTGAAGAAGTCGAGCCGGCTGGGGGTTTGATGGAGAAGTTTGTGATGGTAGACATCCTTGTTTCTTCTTTTATTCTCTCTTTTTTTTCTGATTTTCTCAAAAAAGGGATACATGTCACTTTTACAGGGTAACAGATAATACTGGATTTTTATTCCCGCCTGATGCTAAAAACACAACCAAACAAATAGTGGTACATATCTTAACAGCGATAGCCAATTGTCTTTGCTCGGATGCCGTTTCTTCAAACAGTGGTACATATACATATCTTTGCTGAACCTAACCTCAATGAACAGAGAATGATGCGAATCACAAGGGGTGGTCCGAGATAATTTGGGACCCTCTATGCACTGTGGCACTAAGAGCAATTCCACTAATAAAGCCAAGTTGTAAGAACCAAACTATACAATAGTAGTATCTTATTTCTTATTATTACCCATGTCCCACTTTCTATTTTCTAATCCTCCTCACATTCATGTAATGTTTGGGGGTCAACGGCCCACCACTGCATGGACTCTCCTGCCCAGCCTGTTGCTTGCATAAGAGCCAAACTCTTCTCTTTCTCTCCTCTACATGAGCATTTGCTTGGCTATAAAACCATTATTGCACTTACTCTAATCTAGCCAGCTAGACTTAGATAAAAATTGCCGGATTGAATAGGTTTACGGCTTTTGAAATCACTTCACCGAAGCATAGTATACAGACTTAAAACTCCGTAGCAAAGACCTTGTGATACTCGACATGAGTGTTAACCAACTGACATATAATTGTAGACTAGAACTGGAGCCACCCTGCAACAACACAAACGGATTTCTTAAGTTACTCAGTCTAATGCTAAAAATTTCATGTCAACCGACCGTCTATAACGAACACTGTTTTGGAAGCCTCGACAGCCTTAGACTTGCAACTCAACGGAAATAAGATAGACCATATCTGCCATTTTTTTCTGAGAGGTGTGGTTGATCGACACCAACAGTTGCCATATCTTGTATTTTTTTTCAGGTCTAAAACTCGTTTTCACTCAGTTGCAAGTAAAAGGCTGTTTCTTTCTTCTTTTTTTTGGGGGGGGGGGGGGGTGTGATGTAGTTGTATCAAATGGAAACAAATATCAAGTAGTAAGGATTATCTTAAGACCATTTCAAAGATCCTTATGCCAGATCTTGAGCCTGCTACAGTTTCATCTCAACCAGACTTTCAGTGTCAAGATGTCTGTATCTCACTTCAGGGTGTTCCTGGTCCATCAGATAAACTCAAGTACACATACTACCAGAAGTTCATCCTGGTACTTTCAACCACATCCACAAGATGCTTAGTTCAGACAGCAACCAGAAAAAAATAGAAAGAGTAGAAAACATCATTCCACATTATGCGGTCATTGTAAAGGCATAGGGACCATGATCTATCAAGCTAAATGAACACTAACAGGAAAACTGAAACAGGACTTGATAAAAGAAACAGCAAAAGAAAAATCAACAAAAAACTGAAGGCATTTTGAACTCCTTTCGGAGTTTCGGGAAAGGTTAGCCTATCTAATTCAACAGTGTGTATTTTTTAACCAAAAAAATCAAACAATACTATGGGCGAATACTTGAAAAAACAAAGGTGAGCATCCGAGTTTACTGCCTTGCAAAATCCTTGTTCACGAGGAAAGTTAGAATATTCAGGTCCAAATGTAATGATTTGTCCCTACCACCCAGATAACTAGAAGGTTTGTGATCATGGGGTTGAGTTTCCTGCAGGAGATATATTACTCTGATTTTCTGGTAATTTGCACAAAGGCAGTTCACCCTACTATTTTACCTGACATTGAAATTCTCTAATGACCAAATAAAGTGAAGCCATAGAGGGTCATAAACGCGATATACATTTGTTTCTGCTGCGCTAAACTTCAAGTTATCTTTAAGATACAAACGCCACCAAGAAGGTGCTCCAACAAAAAAAATAAAAATAAAGGCTATGGTGCTTGACACAGAGCTTATCAAAACATGCACACAATACAAGCTGTAGTAGAAGGGATAGAACACAATGCTAGTACCGTTTTGATATGCGTGGCATGGAGCACTTCTGTTTCCTGTCATGGTAAATCCTCACAATGACAGCAGCTGTTTCCTCTATAGCTTTTCCAGTGACCCCTGCATGAAAACAGTATGAAAGATATTTTTAAACAAAGAAACAACAAATAAAAGGTTTCATGAATACATACAACTAACTTGACTTACCAATGACTGGCCACATTGGGTTTTGAGCAAAAATTTGATTTGCATGGACCAGTTCCTGCCTCACATGTTCCATTTCGGCATAATTGCTCTGATACCCATCACCAAAACCTAGAGCTTTGGCCCTAGTCTTTCTAATTGCTTGAAGAACCACTGGATTTATTGTCAATCCAAAAATCTTGTCTTGGCTGATCTCAAAAAGGGTCTTTGGAAGATTCACTCCCATCACAATTGGGACATTTGCTACCTTGTATCCCTTTTGAGCTAGATATATTGACAATGGTGTCTTCCCTGTACGTGAAACGCCAGCAAGTACAAAGTCTGCACGGTTGAGGTTCTGTGGCTGAGCCCCATCATCTTGTTTGATGGTAAAATCAATAGCATCAATCCGTCGAAAGTAGTCCTCTGTTAGCTGACCCTGTCGACTAGGAGAGCTTCGTGGAATTCCAGATGGAGCAACACCAATATGAGAAGCAATGGCTTCAACAGTAGGCCGAAGAACATCAGTGGATGGAACACCCCAGAAATCGCAGGCCTTCTTAGCTGACTCGGCCATTGAAGGATCAGCAAGGGTATATAGAACCAGTGCCCCTTCCTTTGCTGCTTGCTTTATTATCTCAAGAAGTCGATCCATGCTGTCGATCTACAGAACATTACAAAAGATGCAGCCTATTACCAAAAAGTGATGTTCAGCTAACATTTTTGAAGCCAATGCAGGTAGAAAAGTGGATAACTAGCATCTAGTCGGGATTTTCCTGAGAGAAGAATATGACAAACATCTGTTTTTTCTCCAACAATATGATCAACACAAACAGACAAGAAAAGAAAAAATAGTCATGGCAATAAGGGGGTGTTTAAATTCAGGGGCTAAAGTTTAGGGATGTCACATCGGGTGTCACATCGAGTGTTCGGATAGTAATAATAAAACAAATTACACAAGTCCTCAGTAATCCGCGAGACAAATTTATTAAGTCTAATTAATCCATCATTAGCACATGTTTTACTGTAGCACCACATTGTCAAATCATGGACTAATTAGGATTAAAAAAATCGTCTCGCAAATTAGTCTCAATCTGTGCATTTAGTTTCGTAATTAGTCTATATTTAATACTCCACGCATGTGTCTAAATATCCGTTGTGACAGGGGCTAAAGTCTAGGGAGGGGAAATAAACACAGCCTAAATAACATATACAATACGTTGATAACTAGTATCCCAACTGCCTGATACATAGTTGCCTCTGCACAAACACTTATTAATGTGCGTACAAGACCGAGACAACATTTTAACCAACAGAATAAATAGATATGCATGAAGCAACCTTGCAGTTATGAATTTGCACAAAACTTCTGCCTCTACCGTCTACCCCAGTATACATGATCCATATGCATACCCTTGGAGATTGTTAATTTATCTTCACTCAAAGAAAGCGTCCAAAACATAAATTTTCTGTACTACAAATAAATTATTCTTCAAATTGAGAAATTGTAGCATAGCACAGTAATTGATAGTAGATGTACTATAATCAACCTGAAAATAGATCATACTTGTGCACCCCAACATATCACTACAGAGGAGGGTGCCATTGTATTCCCAGAGTGTTAAATTCCATTCGTAAAACTAGCAGTCATTGATTTGTCCTCGAAGATCTGGCTCTTCCTCAGTTCCTCAGTTCCTCAGTTTCATTTCTCCAAATTAGAATTTCACATTCAAATTATTCAGTTACACTTGTGGCATCATCAAAATTTACAGCTACAGTTAAAAATTGCAGAGCCCCTAATTGGCTAATTCGATAGATAGATGACAAAACAGGACATCTTCCATGATAAGTACTCACTCTGTCAGCAGTTAGCACACCATGAACTGAACGTACTTCGAGCAAAAAAAATAAAAAAAAAGTATATGAAGGCATGGGGAGATATTTACCATGGAGATGAGGTGGGTGTTGACAGCGCAGCCGCGGTCGACGAAGCAGTGCTCGAACTGTCCGAGCGCGGCGTTCACCGCGTGCTCCGCGGTCCACCCGGTCCCGTCCGATACCATGTAGATGGCCTTCCCGGCCGCGGCGTCCCTCTCGGCCACGCACACGTCGTCGTCCTCGCCATCCTCCACCGCCACCGCAGCGTCCTCGGGCTGCAGCGACTTGTTCACCGGCAGCACCGAGGCCGAGGCCGAGGAGAGCTTCGCGCGGTCCGACCCCGGCCGGCGGCCCGACCGCAGCGCCCTCGACCGGGACCACCGGCTGAGCTGCGGGCTCGCGCGCAGCACGTGGGACGAGGCGGCGGCCTTAACCGGGCGTGGGCTCTCGACGGCGCGGGTGAGAGCTGGGGGAGAGTCAGGGGCGCAGGACGAGGGGGCGAGGCAGCGACCGGTGGGGGACGGCGGCTGCAGCGGCGCCGCGAGCGGCTTGGTGCTCCCAATCATTGAGCTAAGCTGAGGGCGGCGGCGAGTCCAGCGGTCACTGTTCGCCCGCGTGGGTGGACGACGGATGGCAGTGGTTACAGAGGAAACGATTTCGCGTTGCTTTCAAGACAGCGCTGCCACGGCTGACGCTGTGTCTGTGGTGGTGACAGCAAGATACTGTACCGTGGCTGCCGAGCAGCACTACAATCCAGCGGTGGCGTTTGG